TAATTAAATGGTAAAAGCACTCTGCTTGATGGAGAGAGTCTGCTTCATAACACAAGAAGGATGGGAAGGATTGCTTGTGATTGGTTTCCTCTGGGTGATGCAGAATGATGGCCACTGCATGAAAGAACATCACAGTGTTTACATGACACATGTGTTACTGCAGTGCTGCACAGGTCGACCTCTCGCAGTGTTTTACATCCTGGGATCAAGTGCTCTCTATAATCTCATAATTCTCTGTGTATGATGGAGGGAGTATCTGCTGTGGAGGAATTCAGCCAGGGCTATTTTCACTCCACACCGTGAGACCGGTTGCTATGGTGTTGCCTGTTGGCACCGTTGCTGTGCTGGCATCTCAATGCGGGGTGTGGCGGGATGCGTGACGAGTGGCACCATAGATCCACTTCAGAGTGACTCATATCCTCAGAGCTCTGCCCTACATCTAAGTATGCGTGCTCACACCCACACAGACACACACACACAAACTCTCAACAGACGTCCCACAATGCTGTGTGAGCAATAGAAACATGATGATAAGAGTGTTTTCAGTCTGTGACTTGATGTTTTTCAGGGTGAAAAATCTCATCTGCATGTGTCAGGTGTGTTAATTTAATTATGTCTGTTAGTCTACATTGTTGACATTACTAGAAACTTACAATTGTTTTTCCCTTAACGTCTGTGCCCGCTGAGGCTGAGGGGACACCAACACGCCTGCATATCATTTGATTAAATGAGGAAATGTGATATGCAGACAGTTTGATTCTCTGCTCGCACCTTTTGTGAACTTACTGTGCAAAATGGTCTGCTTTTTAAGGATTTGTGTTGACAGGGAGTGTGGTGTTATTAGTAAGAACAGGAAGGTGTTGCCTGTGGAGCTGTGATTAAGTTAGATCGGAGGAGGAGGAAGAAAGTAGGTCATTGGGCCAGCAGGTCAGTGAAGCACAGATGACATCACAGTTATACAACCTCTGCTCTCCTGCTTACACAACGCTCGCTCTGCGATGCAGCTACTGCTGCTGATACACTGGTGTCAGTGGTAAACATTTTCTTTGCTCCTCTTGTTTTGCTCTCATATCACTCGTCTTTTTTGAATTTTATGTCATCCAGTGTTTCTGTTTGCCTTTTCTTCAGTCTTTGTCAGTATTCTAGTTAGCTTTAATGATACTGTAGAGCAGAAATGCAAATGCTCTCTGCTTCTATAGTTGGCCGCTTGTGTTAACAAAACGGTAATCTTTCAGGCACCCATTCTCTGCGACTTATTTTTGTCAAAAGAGTCACGTGCAGTGAGCAGTAAAATAACACTGCATGGCTGAAAGGCAACAGGCCATAATAAAACCTTCTCTTCCTCTTACTGTCATTTTCTCCGTGCTTGTCTTAACACAAAGGTTTAAATACTGACAGTGCCGGCTTCCTTTACTTGTTGATGAATCCTGCAGTAAGTTCATTAAGTTAATTTAAGTGCTGACTTTTTAATTGTTTCTACAATTGGAACAGTATTCTGCTATTAAATAATAAAAAATGTAACAAAATGGAATTATTCAAATCAAGAAACAGAGCTCCATTTTTGTGACGTGTGTGGTGGCTTGGTTTGATATTTACTTACCTTGGATATGAATGAGTGATTATGCCAGATCAATAAGTGCAAGCGTGTTTTATGCTGTTGGTCTTAACCAAATGCTCCTCAATTTAACTTTTTGTGTGTGTGTGTATATATTAGCTAATAGGTCTTTAAGTATAAATCCCTCAAATATGAAAAACTAAAACATTTGCTGGTTTGAATGGAAATGTCACATGTACCATGGTACATGGAGAGTAACACTGAAGGGATTTTCTCACCAACACAAGTAGGCCATTATGGTGAGAAAACCTCCCACACAGGTTCTGACGGTAACTGGTTCATGAAATAAATGGGTCAAATATTTAGGCTAGAGACCCAGCAGGCTTTCTCATTTTAACTTGACAATCTATTGTAGGCCTACCTGCGTAAGGAGAATGGTGGAGTCGGGCGATAGGAAGAATACATCGGCTGACAGTGATGTATGAATGTAGATGTTTTTGTTTTTTAAATCAGGATAGGTGCTTTTATGTATCTGCTACATTCAGCATTCAGAGTATGAAACATACATGAGGCAGTAAATTACCTTTTGAAGGCATTATGTGCACCGTCAGTAGTTTCAATTAAATCCACAAAATGGGGCTTCATTCATTGCTTCACTGACTTTTGCCAGTTGAGGTGGGTGACGGTGATGGCCTTTGGGAAAATTTTGCTATATCGCACAGCTGTACAAAATTGTGCATATCAGTGTATGATACCTTTTTTAATATGATACCAGATTGTGTCCTGGATGTTAAGGCAAATAATTGACTGTTGTTAAACTCTTAGTCTCATATCAGATCAAACTATTGAATTGAAAGCCAGTGTCCACCGCCTCTTGTGTTCCTCAATACTGATCCCCTCTACCCAGCACAGGCCCTTTTACTTTCTTGTTTGTTTTTCTAGTGCATTCATGGGATAAAGATGGATAATTGAACCGACAGACCAAAAAATGACATGTGCCATTTTGGGATGCAGTTACAAAAACTTTAGTTGGGTTGTTTAAGCAGTACAGCATATCAGGGGTCAGCTGGCCATGTGGAGTTGTTGGAGAGCACCCATGGGCTGTCTCTGATATTACACTGGCCAGACAGCTCTATATGTATTGCAGTGGGTATAATTTATCACTTCTCATGTGTCCAGATTTTCTCCTTGGCCAACCTCACTTTGGTACGCTGCAGTCTGCATTTTATATGCTGAGCTGACAGACATTATGATTGTGTTGTGTGGAATTTGCAACCAAGTTGACTTAACAAATAGATTTGATGATGCCTTCAGTACCTGTCAGAAATGTCAGAATTACAAGTTGAAATGTAAAGAAGAATTAATTATGTTGGGACCACTGTCTTAAACGAGATGTGATATAATGATTCAAGCAGTATTTAGGCACAGCCGTGCTTTGAGCTAAATGCTACGGTCAGCATGCTAACATGCTCACAATGACAATGCTATGTGTATGTGTTCACCTTCTTAGTTTAGCTTGTTCTGTACTTTGTAGCACTAAACACAAGTACAGGACGGATTAAGATTTTGATCTAATGATGGCACTAGAGGAAAAGTTAGGAGATTACCGAAGGGATTAAAATTCATCCGGATGAGACCACAATGTCTTTGGGTCAGTAACAAATAAGGGTTGGTATAATTAGCAGTTCATAAATTTTGTGTTAAAAGCATGCATCTGATTTGTACACTTTATTTATGTTGTTTTCATGTAACTTGAAATGACATTTGCACCATTTGTTTTTACAAAAGGTAAGACTGAATGTGTCTGAAAATGTCAAGCGGTGTAATTACAAAAGAATGAAAAATCTTGACAATTTTATCCACCTAGAGTACTCAGTAAAAAGAATTACTTATCACACAAAATTGATTTATTAGGATAATCTCTATATTTAAATTGTTTGCTATTTTGCAATATTGTGCTGAAAACACTATTTTCCAAATAAGTTTTTTGATATTAATTATGTAACAGACATTAATTTTAATTCACTATGAAAAATGCCAATTGACACAAACCAGTTACACCACCTGACCCTGCTGCTTCTACAGTGAAAGGGTAATATTAAGAAATTGACATTGAAAATTAAACATGATGGTTAACAAGGTCAGCTGAACTTGGTAATTTAATATGGGAAACTGTAGTAGGATGAGCGTTCACGCCTTTTCCTTGCTTAAAAGTGCCATCTGTTGGGGGAGGGAGGCTATATTGTAATTATGAAATAGAAGAAATTCAATACATTGTATTTTACAGATGTAGCCTAAATTTTAATCTTCGAGTAACATTTCTCTTATCACTGAATTATGGGACAGTAGGGGTCACTGTTCACCCACTTCATTATGCTACATTATGAATTTCCATACTTAGATTACTTTCTTATTGCTTAAAATTGTACGTGAATAGAATACAAATATGCATTAAAACAAAATGTTTCTAAAACACCAACAAAATTATTTTATCTGATCTTTATACCTCCAAATACCTCCATGTTGTAAGTTAGTTCATATTATCATATTATTCATATTAGCATCAAAACTATTGATATTTGACAAAATTGGCCTCTGACAGAAAGACTTGTAATGAGAGTGTAGCCGGTTACACCATTTGACATTTGAATTCAAAATCAAATTTGACAGAAATTATCATGGACAATTATGTAAGCACGTGGCCTTGGTGTGAAAATTTCAAACATACATTTTAAAGTAAATTCAAAGTTTTATTATTATTGATGAATTATCAGTGTTTTCCTGGGGTCATACCATTTGACACAACCTAAGCATACCTGGCCCATACCCTAAAAATGTCAAATTATATTTTAAATAGATTTACTAACCTTGGCATGCAGCAAGTAGTGTCTTCAGGGATCCTGTGATATATTTTTTGTTACATGGTCTTTTTTCCCATCATCCTCTAAATATTTTATTAAAATTGCTTACAATTTATTTTGGTCTAGGTTCTCAAAAAAGGATGTATTCAAGTAATTCAGAAGTTTATTTTCAAATGAATCCTTTTAAATTTAACTTAACCATATGGACACAAACATTTGTCTCAGGTCATTGACCCCTTTACCAAATATCAGGGCAATCCATCCAATAATTGTTGAGACATTTCAAACAAAACCTCATGGTGGCGCCAGAGGAAAAGTCAGGGGATACAACCCAAGGGTCTTTAGGATTCAGCCTCTGGGCACCATGAATATCTGTACAAAGTTTTATAGTTATCCATTTTATAGTTTTTGAGAGATTTCATTCTGGGCCAAAGGGGTGGGAGTAATTTGCAACAGGGTTTTAGTGAGATCATATTTTGCCATATTTTGATTTCGCTATGTGGGCAAATTAATAACATTGTAAAACAAGACTACTACTGACAACTTGTATTTTTTTTGTTGTTGTTTTTTTTTACCTTATATAGACTCAGATGTTGCTGCCATGTGCAACACCCGAAGCAGACGAAAAACTCATCAAAGACCGCTTGTCAACTTTCTGCCCTCTGACTGAGGAAACTTTCAGTGACTCTCCAAGACTCACAGAGCTGCACTACCACAATCACCACACCCTGCCTTCATCCAGCAGCACCTTCCTCATCCTCTCACAGGACTGGCTGTACTGTCAGGAAGGTAAGATTGTGATTTGATTCAAATTTATCTGCTGCTTTAAATCACTGGCAGGCGATGAAGCTGTTGTGAATTGTCATTTCATGCTGTCTTTTTTCCCCCTCAAAGGTTAATTTACAAATGTCTACCTCACGATTAAAAGACCCCTTTCCAACACTGCGGCCCTAAACAGGATACAAAATGAGCATTGACCGGTGAGTCAAATGTTTTGAGTCACCTGCATTTGGCTTGTTGTTAATCATGTAGGCTATACAATGTCCAAAACGCCCTTTTCTCTCTGACCGACAGTTCCAAAACAACCAACAAAGTATTTAATTTACTGTGTCATAGATTGATTTTTGATCGATCAATCAACTAATTGTTTCAGCAACAGATCAAAGTCACTTGGGATATACGGTATCTAAGGAGTTTTATTCTTTCCTGCTTTTACCTCAACATAAACACCTAGCATTCAGATGGACTCTCTTATCAAAGTGTTCATAAATAAAAGATTACTAGAGGATCTTCCTCAGCTGTTGGTTTGCTTGCTCTGCAGGGATGACAGCAGTATCTTTGATGGGTTAATGGAAGAAGATGAAAAGGACAAAGCAAAACGGTAAGATCCCTGTAGTTTGTGTTCAGATCAAAGCAATTCAATGTTATTACAATTATTTATTATTTATTTTATTTTATTTATTTGTGATTATTTAAAGCTTCTACTAAGCACGATTTCATGCAAAGATTCCCCTACTTTACCTACCTACTGTAATTAATGAAGTAGAGGTGCATCAAATTGCTCGTCCTTCTAATTAATTTCTTGAAGTTCTTAAGTAGGTGTGGCTCATTTGCCCAACATGAATGCAGTTGTAGTTTTTTGGAATACATTGCTAATGTTGCTTTAACCTATGCCCAAACTACTTATTGCGTCTAAACCCACAGAGTGTCCCGTAACAAGTCTGAGAAGAAACGCAGAGACCAGTTCAATGTCCTTATCAAGGAGCTGGGTACCATGCTGCCGGGCAACACCCGGAAGATGGACAAGTCCACTATTTTGCAGAAAAGCATCGACTTTCTACACAAACACAAGGGTGAGGAGCGCTCATGACAAGCCTGGCGATCTGGTTGTCGTAAAGCTTCAGAGAGCCTTGGGTCACACTCATCAGCTGAACCTGTGTGTTGACCTTATTTTATGTCTCCTTCATCAGAAATCGCTGCTCAATCAGAGTCAACTGAGATCAGACAAGACTGGAAGCCTCCTTTTCTTAGTAATGAAGAGTTCACTCAGCTGATGTTGGAGGTAAGCTAGGAGCACTGCTGAACACGGAGTGCAATAGTCTTCACATTTTACTTTTCCTTTTGAATACAAGTTGAATTATAAGAGTATATTTTTTTTCTGTCAGGCATTGGATGGATTTTTCCTTGCAATTATGACTGATGGGAACATAATCTACGCCTCTGAGAGTGTGACGTCCCTACTAGAACACTTACCTGTGAGTATGATGTGAATAAATTATGCTATAGAGCCAATATTACAGTTATAGAATATTTCAAGTCTGTAACAATGTCCGCTGTGCCGCCTGATTCATTAGTGTTAAAGATATTTGATGTGTTTCAGTCTGATCTTGTGGATCAGAACCTGTTGAACTTCCTGCCCATGGGGGAGCATTCAGATGTGTACAAGGCTCTGTCCTCTCATATCAAGGAAGGAGAGACACTGATGCCTGAATATCTGAAAAGTAAGTGGAATCTTTTATTTGGATCTTGGCATTTCCACTTGTCTTATCTGTTATATCGTGTCCTGGTATATTTAGTCAAGTGCCAGTTATTTTCTTCAATTTGTATTTTTGTGATTTTTTTTTTTCCCCAGCAAAAAATCAGCTGGAGTTCTGCTGCCACATGCTTCGAGGGACAATTGACCCCAAAGAGCCTCCTGTGTACGAATATGTGAAGTTCATTGGAAACTTCAAGTCCCTGAATAATGGTGAGTTACACTACTGTAAGCAAACTTGAACCTCAGGTTGCGTTTTCCTGGCCGTAAAGTCTTGACTTTTCTGTTGTTTCATTTGTCACCAGTGCCTAACTGTACCCGAAACGGTTTTGAAGGAGTTATCCAGCGATCGCTTCACTCTGCCTTTGAAGACAGAGTGTGTCTCATAGCGACTGTGAGGCTTGCCAAACCGCAGTTTATCAAAGTAAGAATCAGCATCCGTTCTTCCACTTCTCACTTCTCCTTTTTTTCTGGTTGACACACATTCGGGCTTCATGCTTTAGGGTTTGACAAAGGTAGTTTTAATTAGGACAGGGCTCGGCAGTAGCGGTTGCCCGGTCACCCCAGGCAAACAAATTTGGGCTCCTGTCAACAATTATGTTCACTCGCCTGTTGCCTCGGTTGGCAACCACTTTTCTCTTTTTCAGAAACACTCTCACTCCCTCTGTCCCTTTCACACTTTGTAAAATCTTTCTTCCAGCTGAGCTACTGTTGATCTTACTATGTTGGAAAATGAGTGGCACTGAGTGTATAATAAAAATCAAACAATGACCCATCAGCAACATGGAGTAATGCACAAGACGTTGTAGTAGTAAAACTGAGACAGCGGAAACACATAAGAAGCAGAAACTGCATCAGAACCTGTGAGGCAAAGTAGTGCTGAACAAACAGGAGATGGCAGTTAACAAAGGCTGCAGTGCAACTAGCTCTTCACACTCACCTTGGGTCCTGCATGTTCAGCTCAATATTGGCTCTATAATTTAATATTTTTACAATATGTAAAATAGATGCAGATAATGTCTAATTAAGTTGTATACTTCCATCCCTATCCCTCACAGGAGATGTGCACTGTAGAAGAGCCTAATGAGGAATTCACCTCCAGACATAGTTTAGAGTGGAAATTTCTCTTCCTGGACCACAGGTACAGTTTTTTTTACAGTGTGCATTTCAATATGTTTTTCATTGTGTAAAAATGATGTTTTGCTTGGCTGTTTGTGTTATATATTTTTGTATAGTAACCCTTCACCAATGGGTCATTTACCCAATAACAAGTGAGTTAAAGATAATGACCACATATTAACTATCCCCATAGTATTTTATACAAAATTCCATTTTTTTGTCCTGTTTTATCTTTTCATCACTATTTATGATATACAAGGTCCAGTTGCAGTCTTAACTAATAATGATCACAATCAGTTATTTCTTTATCAGCGCTTTGTGACTCCTGACTAGATAAATAAACATGTAAAGGTAAAGTGAACTGCAGCATAACCTGCTGTCAGTCACCAGAATTAGGTTTTGAGTCAGACTCTGTTTAGTTTGGTAAAAACTAGTTTTGCTGCTGCAGCAGGGATGAAAAGATCAGCGGGACTAGTCAAAGGTTCATCTGTGAGCTAGCGTACAGACAAGGTGTGAGGGTTTGGGTTGGTGGAATCAAATCACATGGTAGTAAATGAGCCCAAATCCCATGATATTTAGAAGTTGTTTTTCATGAAGCTCTGCTGTTGTCACCAGAGATTTCAAAGTTGCTATGAGCCCTTTGGGGAAAAAACACTCCCTCCTTCCCCCAACTGTGAAAGCTTTATGATAATTAGCTCCTTAGTAAAGGTGTGTGATGGCTTATTCACGGAGCAATGAGTGTTTTCTAATAGGAGAAGGTTTGCAGAGGTCTTCCAATGAATCATTTCAAAAACCTCTTCTTTGTTTGTCCAGAGCTCCACCCATCATAGGTTACCTCCCGTTCGAGGTCCTGGGTACATCAGGATATGACTACTACCATGTAGATGACCTCGAGACACTGGCCAAATGCCATGAACACTGTGAGTATACCGCTCTCAGACTTCAATAAAGAGTTGATCTACGATTATCAGCTTCTTTTTGAGCTTTCTTGCCCTCCTTGTGTGTTCGTAGTAATGCAATATGGCAAAGGAAAGTCCTGCTACTACAGATTCCTCACCAAAGGGCAGCAGTGGATTTGGCTTCAGACCCACTATTACATCACCTACCACCAGTGGAATTCCAGACCAGAGTTTATTGTCTGCACGCACACTGTTGTAAGGTACATGGAAGATTCACCCGATGATATTTACGTTCCTAGTTACAAGAGTAGAAAACGCATCATCATAAGTGCATTTTATTCCCTGTCTTTGCTCTACAGTTATGCTGAAGTAAGATCAGAACAGCGCAGAGAGCTTGGAATTGAAGAATCACAACCTGAGATCAGAGTAGACAAGGTGAGACTTTTGTTCAACATTAACTGTGGGATGATCTGTAATTGGTGACAATGCTTTGTATGGAGCCCCAGAGCCCCAGTGACCGTCTCCCTCGCCTCACAGCAGTCCCAGGATTCAGGCTCTGAGTCCCAGCTCAACACTTCCAGCCTGAAGGAGGCTCTAGAGCGCTTCAACCGCAGCAGGACACCCTCGGCCTCGTCTCGCAGCTCACGTAAATCCTCGCACACTGCCGTGTCTGACCCAGCCTGTAAGCTCCCTCACCAAACAGCTGTTCATCGTCACCCCAACAGCGAATCTCTATCACAGACTCTACTTTATATTAGGTGGACTAAATCTGAACACCATGTTCATGTTTCCCTCTCAGCATCGCAGATGAAGCTTCAGGGAGATAGAAGTACACCAGGTCGCCAGTCGGTCTCTGCTGTGGAGATGACATCACAACGAAGATCGTCTGTCAGCAGTCAGGTCAGTTCAGGGGCAAGAACAGAGTCTGGTGTGGCCTTTTAAGTTAGGGTGAAGAGATGAACTGTTATTCATCCTTTTTTGTTTGGTGTCTGTTTTAATTCCATCAGCAGTCGATGAGCTCCCAAAATACAGGACAGAACATGGCACCATCGATTGTTTCACATCAACAACAACAGCAACAACAACAACAGCAGCAGCATCAGCAGCAGCAACAACAACAACAACAGCAGCAGCAGCAGCAACAGCAGCAACAACAACAACTACAGCAGCAACAACAACAACAACAACAACAACAACAACAACAACAAGTTCAGACCAGTCAAGTAAGTATGTTTTAAAGACTTAAATAATGTAATAATAATCTTTAAGCTTGCTTTTTTCTTAAACATAATTTAATATAATTTTCTATAGTATGCTATGGGTAGGGTTGGGCCAATAAAATAGACGATGCCAATTTTTCACATAATACTGCCATGTGAAAGCAGGTTTTAATCACTACAAACATTACTATTATAAATTGTAAAGATGCTTTGCACCTTCCTCGTAACGCTCTTCTCCCCACACACAAGAAGCCTAGGCTACACGTCAGGTAAACACACCGGCCTCTTTCTGGCCCCCTCCATCGTCCGATGGAAATTTTGTAGACCTCGCTCAACCTAGCTATAGGTTGATCAGTAAAAAAAACACTCAACAAAAAGTGGTGTAAAATTGTTTTGCAGGTGGAATTGTGTCTTGAGCTCCTGATTAATAAGGATAGGCCTTGAAAAGATGTAAACAGTTAATTTACCAATTCTTCTTTGGTATTTACTTCATTCCCAAAAGGGAAAAGATGACATACAGAATATTTACAGTTTATTTGATTGCTTCATTGTGGTTGAGCACAAACTGAACGGCATTATTGAGAAGAACATCACATCACAACATGTGCAACAAACATCATTAACAGCATAAGAACCAATTAGTCAAATAGGGAAGTGAATTTCTAGTGCTCTGGAACTAGTTAATAGTTACAACCCAAATTAGATTATTTTTAGGCATTTTGCTCTTCAAGGTACAGTGTGTAATTTTTGGCCACATGCTCTAAACAAATAGGAGGCAGCATTTCATCTCCTCCTTCCCCTCAGCCAGTCTACTCTCTAAGTGATTCTGCTCCTCTGCTCCTTTCTAATCACATATAGAGCTTATAAATTAATTCCTTCCTGGATTAGCAGGCGTCGCTTCTTCTGCAACAATAAAGTTGTTTGATGATCTGTGGCAGGTATTCAGTGATACTATTTCTAATAATTTTTGTGGATGGGCAGAGTTTGATATTTCATCACGTAGGGGGAAAAATCAGGAGAAATTTTAAACTAAAATTCTGGCCACATCTTACACATTGTAGCTTTAAATCCACAGAGACATTGACATTTGAGTGAATTGCTACTCTCTTGCTATGCCAGATAATAATGCTTTCACATTTATTACCTTGGCAGCTTCCATTTCACTTACTGCTGTGTCCCAATGTCATTGTTCTTTGACAGTCAGTGGTGCAGTTCTGCAACCAGCTAGAAGCCATGCAAAACCTGAAAGAGCAGCTGGAGCAGAGGACTAGGATGATCGAGACCAACATTCAGCGGCAGCAGGATGAGCTGCGGCAGATCCAAGATGAGCTGCAGAGAGTGCAGGGACAGAGCCTGCAGGTGAGACTGAGGAGCTGCTCAGGAGTGTGTGAACAAACAGTCAAATGAATATGTCATTACTATGCTTTTGAAAGAAAACTTTTATTTATTTATTTTTTGCCACAGTTTCAGAGTCTGTCCTGTATGTTTCAGATGTTCTTGCAGAAAGGAGCTGGAGGACTAAGTATTAGCTCTGTTCAGATGGCCCAGGGGAATGCTGTGCAGCAAGGGGGGATGCTCAGCATGCAGGGCCAGGTGGTTTCTGCAGGGCCTCTACAGAACAACATACAGCAACAACATGCTACCCAGCCCCAGTCCCAACAACAAACGCTCTTACGTGACCAGAGCACAGCACTCTCACAGGTCAGACAAACTAAATAATTCTCCTTTTCATTTTGTTTCTTGTCCATCCAGAATGCTACAGATCTCGTCACTTTCTATGGTTCTGTGTATTTTCAGTCTCAGCGATCGTCTCTCACTCTGCAGCCTCAACAAAATCCACTGTCTGCATCTCTCTACAACACAATGATGATCCCTCAGCAAAGCCCTACTAACATGGTCCAGATTGCCACTAGCCTGGCTCAGAATACTGGTCCCAACACTCCTGCTGTGGCTACATTTGCTCAGGACCGTGCAGCTCAGATTAGGTTTGCCTCTTCATTTAAAAACTATTCATTTTATATATTCGCACAAAGTGAATTTGTTAAGGAGTGTTAATTCATTCATTGCACTATGAAAACTAACTTTATTTCCTTTGCCCACTTCGCGTCTCTGACAGGTTTCCTGCCGGTCCCCAGCTGCTCACCAAACTAGTGACAGGACAGATGGCATGTGGGGCAGTCATGGTTCCCACGACCATGTTTATGGGCCAAGTGGTAACAGCCTTTGCTCCTCAGCAGGGCCAGACCCAGACCATCAGCATTTCCCAGCAGCCATCACAACAGCAGCATCAGCAGCAGGAGCAGCAGGTACAGCAGCAATCACAGGTCACAGCCATGCAGCCAGGGCATACTCCGCTGGCCCAGCAGCAAACGCAGTTCCTACAGGTAACACTGGAAATGAACGAATGAAGACGATGAATGTGTAGGCTGCACTAGGTAACGTTCGGTCTATTTCTTATGGATTGATTAGTATCAGTTTAATTGTCCTTGCTCTATCAAGAAATTTGCTTCTCAGTATCAAAGTTCTCTTCATTCATAGCAGCCACAGTGAGGTGGTTTTGCCCCTCAGTGTCTATGATGGGGGTGGGGGGGGAAGTGGCTCAGATTCTCTATAAAGTGAATCAAACTGGTCATAATTTCAAACGTCAAAACCAAAATGTTGCCTAGTGCAGTTTGAAGTTACATCTTGACTCTGTGTACGTGACTCAACAGTTAATTTCCTTCCTAAGACCTAGCTAATTAATTTTTTTCACTTAAGGCTCCTCGGCTTCTTCATGGAAACCAGTCCACCCAGTTGATCCTGCAGGCAGCGTTCCCTTTGCAGCAGCAGGGTACCTTCACTGCCACAGCCCAACAGCAGCAGCAACAGTTACAACAACAACAACAACAACAACATCATCAACAACAGAAGCAGTTACAACAGCAGAAACAGCAACTGGCCCCTCACAGGGCAGATAGTTTGTCTGATCGCTCTGCTACGCAGCCACAGTAGCTGGCTAAAGCCAATTAGAAGTAGGGTGAGCCCAAAACCAGGTGTGGGTGTCTTAGTGACGGGGGTCCAGAGAGGAGTTCTGCTGAAAGTGCAGCACTGAGACCGTGCCTCAGAGGCTGAGAATTGATTGGATGGGCAGGCTGGGGCTTCTCCCCCTCACAAGGATCTTTTGCTGTTTGCACTAAACTCCTGAGCACTAAGTGCTACAGAGAAACCAGGACTGGGCCCGCTGTGGCTCAGGTAGTAGGCATTGGCTACGGGTCTAAGCCTTTTCTCTTAGTAAACAGGGAGCCACAATCTCTGTAATGGACCCCCACACCCGGCCCCCTCCCTTTGTGTTTTGTGTGTGTGTGTGTGTGTGCTCTAGTCATCCTCACAGGATTATTTTCAGCAGAGCTCTTCAGTTAATACAGCGAAGCTTCTATCGAGCTTCAAAGACATCCTGAAGAACAGCCAGAGGCTTGTTTGTTTTGGATGTTTTCTCCTATTCTTGTTTTTCATGTAAAAATAATTATGGGTCAGAAAATATTTTTAAGAACGTGGTGTAGATTGAACTTTTACTGTACAGAACACCATGTGTAATATATTTTGTAAATATAATGAAAAAGAAAGAACTAATATTTTATATGATGCATGAAATGAAATGTGTAATCTGTTATTTGCAGCTTTGAATATGCTTTTTTTTCTAGTACTCTAAGAAAAAAAGCTCTTAAAATGCTCAGTGGCTGATATTTTCACAGACTTCCTTTCTCCTACGGGATGTTTTTGTGTGTCTGCATAGCAGACAATGCAGATGCTGCTTGTTGTGTCACAGTTTGTTTAATCCTTGACTCATATTTTCACAAATTTCGTAAAAATTGTCAAAATGACAGAAATGTTTTAAAAGTATTTTTAAGCTTTTTAAAATGTGCACACAAAAGACTAGACTCAACTTGAGCGGAGTATTGTGTATGAAGGCTACCAAGGTTAAGCTAAATGTTTGCAACAATAAGATTTGCCAACATATTCCTTCATATTCTTATTTCTTAATTTTTAGCACTTCTGCTGAGATTCCTCCATTTCAGAGCCATCCATAATGCCTGTATGATACCTGAAGAGACTTTATTCAATCTATAAATATTTATCCCTTAAAATATATTTACAAATAAAAATGTAAACTCAGATCTGTTAACCTGTTGCTAATATTCTCAGACCAAGCTTGAGTGAAATGATTTGTGTTAGCATGGGCTAATCAAATGATTTGCTCATTGGCAGTCTGCTCATCCCTCCGGTCTTTAGCCTCTTATCTGGGTCAGCAGGGTTAGGAGCAGCCTAGACTTTCTTTTTCCAAAGCGTCATCCTCCACTTGTCTCTGGGTGACTTTCACGCAAGTCCCAAACCACCTTGACTAGCTCTTGGGGAAGCTGTAGCTCGACACAAGAAGTCCCCTCATATCTCTGATCTCCTTGCACTATCCACTATCAGGAAGATAGAGGCCAGTCACCCTGGAAAGACCTAATTTAGGCTCCTTATATCTGCTGCCTCTTTCGTGTAGTTACTAACCAGTGTTTAGTAGTCAGAAGTAGCTAGTTTGTCTCGTGAGAATTTTGCTTTTTGGTTCTCCGTAATGCTTTGATAAAAAGCCAACTGCATTACTTAAAGTAATTCATCCAAACCCTCTTGTGATTCTCTGCATGTTTGCTCACCCTCACTTGAACCTGCAATCTTCTTTTTTTTTTGCCAATTTGTGGGACGCACAAACAAGCTGTGAACATAACACTGACATGTTGTCACCATTCTATGTATAGCAAACCAATATAGCAAATAGTTTTTACACATCCAGCAGATACGGAGCAACATTAGCTTTCAGTTAGGCTGCGTTCAGTCTGCAGGCCAAAGTGACCCAAAGCTGAAGGTAGCTCACATGTGACTCACAACAGTATGAATGACCCAAGTCACATGGAATCTAATCTTTTCCAGTTCCGATTTGGGCCACTTTCATGTCTAGTCCAAATCAGATACAGATAGGATTTTTTTTTGAAAATGGACAGTCAGATAGAAATTCATGCAAGTCTGACGTCACTCCGGAGCAACCATCATCACAATTCTGCACTAGCAGGAGCCACGGTAAACACAAACCTGAAATCAGCTTAAAAATAAAACTATAGAGGCTAACCTCTGTGGCCTCCATGTTTACGACAACGTGCTGCGTGTGATGACGTAGGCTATTTGTTTTTTTTGCACATATGGGTCACTTTCATGTCGTCCCACTATGTACACCAGCTAATAATTACCAGCTAACTAATTTTGTCTGTCTGCGATTTGTGCCGGGCAGGTTTTGTGAGACTTAAACAGAAAACAGCTGCCTGCTGCAGCCAAACAACACAAAATGAGAGCGGTGAGAGTGAACCAAAACAAAGTTGCAGGCAGAAAACCAAAACCGTGAGCTGAAAGAGGCTAGAAAGCTCTGAGGGAAACTGCAGAGTCTGGTTATATTCATCAGTTCATCTCTGTGAGCAATGACTGACACATACAAGTAGTCATGTGATCCAAATAAAAAAATTGTGGGGATCATTATGAGGCCACATCCACAAAACATGCATGAAGACAGGTTTGGCAAATTCCCTGTACCTCTTAAATATCCACAGGAGGGTGAAAGCTGCCTTACTGTTTAGCAATCAGAACAGAACCTATCCTAAATTGGAGTTATATTTCATGAGTAGGCTTTTCAACCGTTGGAACACACCTACGTTATTTTGTCGGCACAGACTCCCTACACATTCTGGTTTAGCAGGCTTGCCCGCAGCTGCCTCATCACCTGATCTAATTCACTGTCACTGATGGTATCAAGCTGACAGCTCAGCCCAGTTTAACAAGTGGCCACTATGTCTGGTGAAATCCATACAAAGTCAGTCTTTGACCATTGGCCCAAAGTGGTGGTGATACCACAAGCACATACAGTAGGTGTCTGGTAATGTCTGAATATGGTGGAGTTTAATGAAGTCTGTGTGAAGGGCTGAAAGAATAAAACATTATTCAACCACTGTGTACAATGTGAGTGATGCACCATAAAAGTCATTTCCTACTCACTGCTTTGGGATATTGGACTCATTAGTAGCCTTTCTACCAGGATAAAGTGACTCAGTTTGGGTTTTTCAGGGGAGAAATAAACTCTGTACTACATATAACAGCTGCTGTTTCTGCTGTTATAAGCCCCGAAGCCCATCTCACTTTGTGTGTTGTAGAAAATTGGTTTGATAACATCTTTTAACCTTTATTACTACCTTGACATTATGATGCTTCAATTTAACAAAAATTTAACACCCTCCTACCTAATTTCTCAACTCAACTTAGGTTTTAAGCTTAAAATGTTAATGGGAAAATATTTTTTAACGTAGCCCAACTTGCACAAAATAAGTGGAAGCCGCAGTTGCCAAGATGAATGTAAACATATTAAGAAATGGTGCTTCCTGTTTACGGAGCATTTTAGCGGTTTTATATTTTGAACCAAGAGCTAATGAACAGTTACTACTACTGACGATTAGGCAGCGGTTGGGTTTTGCTGAACATGCATTTAACTTTACCGTAAGTTATCTTATAATGCAGAATAAAGTGAAGGCAACTGTTGGCTGGCAAAAAGATAATGTTCGATCCCTAGCGATATTAATCCACTATCCCATCTACTGTTTCTCAAAACAAGATATATTGTCCCTGCTAACAAGTCCTGTTACTGAGACATGATTGTTTGCAGAAAGCACCTTTACGATATATGGCACCCTAAAAAGGCATGTTTTCGAAAGAAAAAAGATTTCAGTCCACGTTCTCTGCAGCAAAAAGAAAAATTACATATTTTTGGACCCCACCTCCACTCTAATAATTTTCATACAGTTCCTAACCTATTCTCTCCACTGTGTTGTTTCTGTACTGCATAAAGTTCCATAAAGACTGCATCTAGTTAGAGTATAGTGTGGACCTTTTATAAAGCGATCCCCCCGCCCCCTTCTCATTAGTTGTGATGCTACAACACATATCAATACTTAAATAAGACACACAACCTGTAGAGTGGACCTGGTCCTGTGCTACACGAGATTTCTGGGCCATTACAAGCAGCGATCACGCTCATAGGGAGTTCACAGATATAATCAGGAACCTGACTATTCAAGGCCTTTAAAAACAAGAAGTACAGTCTTAAAATCGATTCTAAAACTCACAGGTAACCAGTTAGTACGTGTTAAGAGCCTGGCAGCAGCGTTTTGATTCAACTGCAGTCTTTGGATGTTATGCCTGCTGAAAGTGCACTGGAATAGTCAAGTCTGGAAGAGATGAAAGTATGGATGACCTTTTCCAAGTCTGCAGAGGGAAGGGTCGATCGGATCTTAGTTAGCTGCTTCAGCTGAGCAAATAAGGACTGCACAACTTTAGTCAGCATCAAAGGACAATACAGAATCAAAAATAACACCTAGGTTGCGTGCCTGCTTTTGGACATTATTGGATAAGGCATCCAAGCTAGAGGAGAGATTATTGAATGTCTATCAGTGTCCTCCCTTCTGTTCTCAGTTCATTTCAGTGTGGCGTTACTGTTTGGCTCATGAAATTCACTGGCGCAGTACACGCTACGCCCCCTGCCTTTGATGTTAATTACTAATATAGCTAATCCACACTGAATCCCTAGATCCTGGTCCCGCCCAAATCCGTGACCTCAGAGCCGGTGTAATGGTCCTTACAGGTGATGGTGAACGTTACAGATTCAGGCAGTAAACCACCCTTTTGTTGTAAGTAATGGCTTCATTAATGGTTAGTAAATAATTTACTTGAGCTTTATAAGCCATTAATAAAAACAACTTTTGGGTTGCTAGGCTGTGAAATATCCCTTTGACCACATGAAAGGGGGTTCAGACACTCTGGAAAAAATCTGTTTATCAACTTTATAACACTTAAATCGAGTCTTGATGGATTTAAACTCTTTATTAATGCCCGTTAACTTTTTTTATAACCAAATTCAAAGGGTAAACCTCCAGTGGAATAATGAACCTGGCACCTATAATTGACCTTGTAATAGGGCTGCAACTATTAAAGATCCTTTTCATTGTTGGTTAATCTGACAAACAGCAGCCACATATTGTAGAAGCTGGAATAAGCTTGTTTGCAAGTTTGGCATTTCCACTTTTTATTTCTGACTAAATATTATATATATTAATGAATTGTAAAAATACATTGGTTTATTTTGTCGACTAATTGTTTAGCTGCTTAACCAGATCAGCTATTTCTTCTTTAAATGAAGCTTTAGTAAAATCATTTGTCAACCACTAGTAAAGCCATTAATTACAAGTTACAACTCCTTTGTAAATGGAGGCCTTATTAGTAAGTGGTACCAAATTTTGGACTTTCTGCCCTACATGCCTCACCATAGATTTCCCCCCTGAAATTTAAAGATGTTCAGTTTATGTTCTCCTGGTGGGGCTCAAGGATCGGGTATTAACACCCCCCCACTACCACCACCTGCTGGTCAGTTTTATGTTACACATGGACTCTGCAGGGTTGTGAGGATCTTTCACCTGAAATAAAGTTAACTCAAACATTACATTCAATAAACAACTCTAGTTGTCACTTTTATTCACTTGCTTTCTGGGATGTGTACTGTGCTGCCACTCTGCTCCACAGTACAAATGATTGGTTTAGAAATCAGACAAAACACATTTTTATTGAGTATTTTAGATTCATAGGCATTTCATCCAAACTGTATTACAAAACAGAAGTATGTCACAGCTGGACACAGCGTGTCAAATATTGACAATGCAGCTTTAACCTCTTCACTTAAAAAAAATATTCTCATTCCTTGTGTATAGTGACCCTTTCTATATCTACAGTACATATGGAAAGACAACTAAGCTAAATAAATAGATACCACTTTAAATAAAAGGTGAAACATAGTTACATTGCAGTGTTCAGATGTCACTAGCTACAACACAGCTGCTAGCGGCAAAAGGAGAGACTTACACTGTCGATTTTGTGTAGGGTAAATTACACGGTACTTACTATCATCTATTGTGGACCTGATGCAGTTGTTTATTTTGTGATTCGGGGCGTCAACAATTGAGAAAGTGAGGTTTATACTGGAAATGGCTTTGATCACCGAGGAAGAGTTAACCGGTTAGGAAGGCAATTACTGGCCTTCAACATTATCCACGTTTTATTCACTGTCGGACACAAGAACAACCCCGATCATTATCTCCAATGTGTAATTAACATTTCAGAAAGAGTAGACATAAGCTTATTTAAGCTGTGGTGTAGCTCTCTGGGTACTGTACCTACACAGGTGTTCCAACATAGGTATGGTGACACCTGAATGCAGAGGTATTCTTGTGGTTCAGGTCTCTGTCTCTGAAAAAGACCGCTCCCATTTGAAACAGAGGAATAACTAAGGGAAATATTTCGATGACAGCTCTGCCTCAAATAAAATCTCAACTTAAATCAGATCTCAAAAGCAGTTTCTTAATGATGTGCTGTTGGTTCTGTTTACAGTTTTTCCCCTCCTCACAGCGGGAAATTAAAATCTTACACAAACCAGGCTCACTTATTGTTACGTGATTTGAATGCGTTGTAGCAAAAAGTGTTGTCGAGAAGGGAGAAGTAACAACCAAGCAATACGAGCCAACTCCTGTAAGAGGAAACTGGCAGCTCGGTCCAGGGTTTCTATTCTGTCAAAGAGTCACCTGACAATGCTTGGGCTCGTGTTACACAGATGGGGAGGGGGTGGGGATCAACGATTTAACATTTAAAAACAAAAAGAGGCAAATATTTTTTTAACCTTGTGTCTAACTGAGATGGCTGAGCGGGAGGGAAGTAGTGCCTGTCAAATAGGCAGCAATCTCACAACCCGGTGTTCTTTCTCTCACACACCTTGTGATGAGAGCGACAGTCCTGCCCCCCTCTCCAAGAAAGCCTCTGTAATTCAATGTTTTCTATTCATTCTTACAAACTTTCTTACTTGATAAAGCATCAACTACTTAGTATAACATCTACAACTCCCATTAGGCTTTTATGTGTACAACAGGTTAAGGCTCTTGGGAAATGGTATTTGATGCAAACAAAATAATGTCCAGACAGACTAGTGGAACAGAGGCTAGCTGGGGGATGAGGGCGAGACTCAGGCTCTCTGTTTAGCCTGCCACGCTTTCTTTTGGACACATACAGACTCAAAACTATTGTCTCTCTACAGAAACTTAATCAAATTTTACACGTATGTACAGAGTAACCGGGAAAGTCTTTCTTCCAATTAAAATCCACCTTCTGGCTTGATGAACAGGGCAGACAAGGCAAACGCAAGAAAAACGATCCCTCCAATGATTGTAACTATGGAAGCAAAACAACAAAAAAAAAAATTATGGTTGTAGTTAACATACAGTTACGTTATATGCATGTACACACAACAAGTTAAGATCTCATCTGTGTCTACTACAGATGTTTCAAGAATCAGATCCACTGTGTTTTAAAGTAACTTGCTTCTTCAACACATAAAAAGTATAGTACATTTTAAAGATGGACTGTAATCCTGAAAATGGATTTAACAAATCAGTTGTTTCAAAAAAAATAAATAATAACAATCTCACCTGTTCTGACAGATATTTTCTGGGCGATCATTCTCCCTCCAATCACAGCCAGTCCTGTACACAAACAGTGTCCAATTGTACCACCCACTGCAACTCCATATGGATTCTGGGAATAAAAAATAGTGGTTTTCATGATGATGGTAAAAAACATTATACATTCCCTTTCCTAAATATCTGATCAGTGTTTTAACACAGCCGGGCAATTTGCTGTTTGTATATCGTTCGGGAGCCATACCACAAAAGATTTGCTTTCGCACTGCCCCCCCCAAGGTGAAAGTTCAGACACTCGATATACAGCAAGATATTCTATATGGCATTAAAAACACACAGCAGTGTGCCCTCGAGTAAAGGTAACAAACCTCCTGGGCAGCTAGAATAATGGTGGTCAGTTGCGAGCGGTCCCCCCACTCTGCCAGGAAGGTGAGGGTGAAGGCTTGGATGAAGATGGGCGAGATGAAGCTGTGCCACTTTCCCTGAGGAACGGTAGTCCCTGATGCAGCCTCTACATCTGGAGACCCATTGAGTAGCTTGGACCGCTGGAGCTGGACACAGAATTACAGAAGACTGAGATCTGATTTTACTAAAACACTGGGTTTAATGCTCTACTTACATAATGAAATCAGTTGGACAGGTCATGGGATGTTTGACAAACTTTTACTCCACAACAGCTGTGGTAGAAACTGTAAAACCTCCATTCTCCCATGCATCTTGGTGATAAAAATGGCTTCTCTACAACACCAATCTTTTTTTAAATGCCTGGCAGACTCATGAAAATCAGTGTTTCAGCAGTTTCCACTAGCATGTGCAAGTAGGATGTGATCTTCTGAGAAGCAGCAACACCGTGACAGAGCATTTCTGCTGATAAAGTCACTGAGTAAGACAAAGAATACCCACACTGAAGGTGTTATGTGGCTGCTTATATAAATTATGCATGTTCACTTATCTGTACTGACTTACCGTCACACTGGGATTGTACTACTTGATCTGCCTGGGATAAGCGTGTCTTTCTAAGCTTTAAAGTAAAAAAGTTGGCTTACCTCTTCATCCTTCTTCTTGATCTCTGCCTGCACCTCCTCCAGCTCTTCCTGGCCTTCATCTGGACTCATTTTCAGTCCCTCTCTTAGCATGCGAAGACCAAAGATGACAAACAGAGCGGTGGACACGTAGTGTGTGTAGATTCTAGGGATGACCGTGGTGGCATAGCCAAACAGCACTGGGAGGTGGATTCAACAATCACGTTGTTAAACTCTTAAAGGGAGGGAGGAATAACTCTACATTACCATTGTGCAAAACCAACAAACCCAATTCTACTAACCAGAAAGACAAGTCATGATTCCCAGGGCTAACATGGCACCTATCAGCACGGTGAGACGGTTGTACCGCATTGCCATAATGGCTGCAATGAAAAATGTTTTGTCTCCCAACTCGGAGACGATGATGACAGAGAAAGAGGCCACAAAGGCATGAATAAAACCCAGGTTTCCTTTGCTGGGGCCATCTGCAGAAACTGCTGGACCTACTGGATGGGGACTTGAGGCTTTCTGCAAAGAAAACCAACACACAAAGTGAACACACAGTTTGAAAGAAAAGTCAAACTTGCAAGTCTGTCTGTGGCTAGCTTAATATTGGGGCAGCATGCTTTAAGAACATTATTAAAAAGGTGTTGGCGACATTATATTAGCACGGCCAGCTCACGCTACCACTCATACGTTATCTGATCGTTATTTTTCCTTAAAAAGGTTTGCTTGGCTAGTCCTGCTTAAAGATGAAAGACTAACTTTGCCCACTTGAGCCAGCTAACGTTAAACCCGGAACACAATGTGATATGTGCAGTTAGCATGTGCTGGCTAGCTGGAAGGCGCTAGGAAGTAGCGGCAGATAGAAGGTTTTACTGGTAACGTTAATAATGAAGTTAAAAGATTGTACCTCTTGTACAGGTTGCTCTTGGACAGCTTGCTTGTGCTCCTCTGGAAGAGCAGCAGCTCCGATAGACAGCAAAAACACGGCGGCGAGTGGAAACAACACGCAAATCATATTTCTAGCTGCCCGTCCATCTCCTCCGCCGACCATGACAGGCATTATTGCTCACAGAACACTGAGCAAAACACAGTTCCCGCTTTACTTTGTCTTCCGCGAATTACTTAATATCATCGGCAACTAAACTGGCTAACTTCATATTAGCAGACTACACTATTTCAGGGACCCCCTCGCTTATACACGTCACGATCAGGCAGGCAGGCAGGCAGACCGACCGATGCCGACGCAGGGCGGAAGTTCCAAACTTGCTGCCGCGTTACGAAGGACATGATTGGACCATAAAAAGTGACGTACCCACAGGACAGCTCGGGGATTGGACAGCCTTCTTGTCATTAACACGCGTATGCAAATAGTTAACAACGAGTCAAATGCTTGAAAGACGTTACAAGGGGAAAAAAAGAAACGATAAAGTTATCACTATAAGCTCTCTGACAGTTATGAAATACACCAATTCATTCAAGTTAATGACCTGACCTTAATGCAAATGTACTCACTACTTGCTAAATGTTTATTCAGTGGTGGCAAGAAGAACTTATGGCCACTATAAAAGTCTGAATAAGATGTGGTGATTATTTTACAATAAATATTTAAATACAGCGCATACCCTCTATACACAATTAAAGTAATCTTATCAGCAATTTTCGTGCAAAGGTTGACAGTTTAATACGTCGCCATCTAGCGGACTCATAAAGCCTAGCCTACACTCAAATGTTCCATCTATTCTCAGTTTTCCTTTTATTTACTGTAAGTGTAGTATTTACAGCAAACTTGTTTTTATGTTGTAGTTTGAAATCATATGTATTACAAAAAACTACTTTCCAATGTTTGTACAACAGCAGAATATTGATGTTGAAACCAATAGCTAAGTTTCTCATATTGACATTTTTACCTGTTAATCTGTGGGTCACAATATACTTATGACATTTCTGTTGTTATTACGACATGCCCACTTATTTTAACACAAAACTTGTCACAAAACTCCAACTGGTATGCTTTTACAAACAGAACATTTCATAAGTTGCTATAACAAGAAAATATTCAGTCTTGATTTCTCTTTTTACTTTATTAAAGAAACTTTTTAAACTTCCTTAAATTTTATTAACGTGATACATTTGTGTGGTGTTATAGAAAAATGTGTCCTTATTACATGAATGTACCTTATTATAACAAAAACCATATTGTGATTTGTGGAGACATTCCTCATTTCCTCACATGATCAGTCTGCAAGAAACAACTCACCTCTCACCTGCACAGACCTTTGCAGTGGAAGAGTGTTTCTAGTGCACTGCCATGCCTCACATCCACACTGTCAACCACGATCAGTGTTGCTCTGTTGAAGCTATGGAGGAGCTTCACTTGGTCGAGAGCACCTTGTCAATCGATGCTGACAGAGAGGTGAGTTTTACTCACACACCTTGTCAGTCCTCAGACATCTCTGACATTTTGCGAGGACTTAACAGTTCCCATTAAGGAATTAAAACTTAAAGCTATTCATAGCACAAAAGGTATGAATGCGTTTCTATGCTTCGGGTATGACTCATATTTGCTAATATAAAAGTCGTGACAAAGCTGTGCTGCCAGCGCCTGGTTGAAGAGCACATAAAGGACAACAAGCCACCATGTCAGAGACAGGCCTCCAAAAACCAAGCTCAGCGAGATGTAGATCAGCAGCTCAGCAAAGTAATGCGGGCATGACACCAGCTCGAACCAGCCTCCCTCTGGCACTCTGTGAGCCAGCGTTTCCACTGTCCCTGAAAGGTAACAGAGATAGATAACAGAAAATACATTAGTCCCTGTGTAACTGACAGACCAGTGGTTATTCACCTGGTAATTATGCATCTGTGTTAAGTTAAAGCTGCACTAATCAATATGGATCACTTGTCTTCTATGAAAGGTGTCGCTCATTGTGATAAACCCACAGAGAATCATCACCAACACTGCTGTTACGCTCAGCTCTACAAAGCTTTATAACCACTTTTAGGTAATTGTTTTAGTTTACTGGCAACGCATCGCTCTCAACAGCCATGTTTTCAGCAGCAGTGGGCATCTGTTTCTACTAACAAGAGAACACAGCAGAGTATGCAGCAGCTAAAGAGCCAGATATTTCTTGGAGATCAAAACAACCACCAAATGAATGCCAATGCTGCATGTCTAAATTACAACAGTTTGCCAACAAGTTCCCCATAACAACTTTATGTGATGATAATATGTCAATTATGTATTTTCAGCTTGTTCTGCTGCCAAAACAAAACGAAATAAACAATTAATGTACTGTGCATATGTCACTGAACATTATGTACACCTATAGAATCTAATTATTATGGTTATTTTTTTGGGAAATGGTCAGCAGTAATTAAGTATACATCATTTGTAATGAAAGGTACAAACAAACAAACATGCAGACACAAAGGTTTGAAGCAAAGCCAACTGCACAAACGTACCAGACTTTCCAGTGCGAAGCCTGGCCAGCAGGACCATGGACTGATGCTGCATCATTGAGGCCCAGATGAAAAGTGCATTTCCAGCCACGTGAAACCAGTCCAGCTGAGAGAGGAGACTTCCAGTCCCTGAAAAAGAGCAGCGCAACCATCTACACCACATAGCAGAGCCAGCTAAATTGTCAATGTAGAGAGGACTGGTTTCACTTTAACCTTTTCCCAGGCGATCCGAGCAGAGCACCGTCAACCCCAGCACGACATAATACCCCACTCCGAACACATACTGCACCAAATGTATGGCTCCATCAGAGAAAACACTGACAAACAGGCACTCCAGCAGCCTTCTGAGGGAGTGGACGCAGAGCAGCAGCTGCACCAGGACAGTAGACAGCTGTGGGACTAACACAGACAGCATGAATACCAGCAGCAGTATGAATCAAACAGGAAGACACACGCTTTAACAGAGCAGCCTACCTTGACTGTCAGTGCTTGGTAAACCTGTCAAAATGTCTAACATGCCAGTCAGCCATGATGGGTATGGCTGATGCTTAAGTGTGAAGTTCAGGTACAAGGCCAGAAGGAGACCATTCCAGCCAACAGAGATGGCATAAAAGTGCCAGAACCACCTGACAGGAGAAAGGTCATGCTCAGGATTTATGTGTTCAACTGAATTAGCATCTACAAGTTTAAGTTTTAAACATGTAAACAATGAAATTAAATAAATTACAAATGTATTAATTATACACACGAGTTGTTTTGAACAGTTACCTTTTAGGGACGTCAAACACACGCAGCCAGTCGTCTCGTTTGAGGTTTTGTTTGGTTTTTCCGTACCGAATAAGATCCTGAAATAACACGTAAAGGCGACATGTTTCATATTTTCTCGGCAGCTGCGGTGAGACTTTATGAGCGCAGAAAGCTACAAAGAAACACAAAGCCAGAGAAGACCAGAAAGCATCAGTAACGCTCAAGCCGAGGGGGATCCAATGCATCTTCCCGCTCCGCAGGACATTGTTTTGTGCAACACAGAAAAGAGTCCGCCGGAAAACGGTAGCAAGGGTTCCGGATGAAATGTGAGGTGGCAGGAGGTGTCCTGTGATTATTCAATCGTATTATTGTAATACCCTGCCAGGTAATTTTGTGAAATACCTTACACCTCGAGAAGAGCTTTAAACTTTGCATTCAGTCTTACAGCTGTAAGCAATGCTGGAAAATGATACAGCAGGTGGCAGCACCTGAATCTCACCACATAGCAAGGGGACCCAACATGACGGCCAGTCCAGTCAGAAGCAGTACATTTCTGCAGATAAGTAGATGTATTCAAATAGCTTGTTTTGTCCAACCAAGAGAAAGCCAAACATATAAAGCCTTAATAACACAAACGATCAAGAAAATCAACAATATTCACATTTGAGAGCTGGAACCAGTGAAGTTGACATCTTTGCTTAATAAAAAACTTACACTATTAATTTGATTAACAAAATTGTTACTGGTTTATTTTCTGTCAATCCACTATCCTACCGCTAATCAGTTAATCAGATAATGTGTCTGTGTGTGTATCAGTGGTGGATTAATTATTAAGATCCTTTACTTAAGTAAAAGTACTAATGCTATACTATAAAAATACTCTTTTACAAGTTACAGTCCTGCATTGAAAATGTATCTAAAGTAAAAGTATGTAAGTATAATCAGGAAAACATAACATTAAAAATAAAAGTACTTGATGCAGAAAGAAAAATGTCCTGTGACTGTTATTACATATTAAATTATTATTACTCATGCATACTGATTGTTGAGGGGGATCTAATTTATGCATATTTTGTATTGGAAAGCAACTAATAATTATGTTCATTATGGATTAATCTGCTGATTATTTTCTCCATTAACTGATTTTTGAAATTCTGAAAATAGTGAGAAATGCCATCACAGTTACCAAGGGCCCATAGTAGATTCACAATGCTTGCTTTGTCTAACCAAACATACGAAGCTCAATATTTTTACAAATCTTTACATTTGTGAGGGTAAACCATGAAATGTTTTTATGTCTAAACAATCAAAGTTGTGCGAGTTAATCTCAATCTCAATCTAATTATCGTGTCAGCTGTACTTGTATAAAATGTTGGATAGTTTAATAAATGATAAAACAGATTTTATTAAGTCTTCATATGTTTTGTGTTTACAAATCTTAATTTGTAAAGTAACTAGTAAATAGAGCTATAAGATAAATGTAGTAAAGTAAAAAGTACAATATATAGATCTGAGATGTAGTGGAGTGGAAGTAGAAAATTTAATGAAAAGAAAATACTTAAGTAAAATACAAATACAGTTACGTGGGTAAATGTACTTCATGACTGTCCACCACTGATGTACAGCTAAATGAGTATTTCCCTCTGAGGTGTATAACACAGTAGAAGGAGATAGGAGGGTGCATTGTTTTAAGCAATGCTCTGGATTCAAAATCTGCATCAGTTCATCACACTTTGATCTTCAGGACAGTGTTACCAAACATGATGTCGCCTGACCTCGTGGCTTTGGTGCTTCACTCATGCTCAGTTTTTGCTGAGCTTTCCTCTCACATGTTCACAAGTGGTATGTGTGTTCCTCCTCTCTACAATGCAGCAACATGTCAAAGGAAAAGAAGTGTGTTTTTGTGAACGACTGGATAAGGCCTTTGAGGCATTTGATTCCAGGATGCCTCTTAGAGAAGCCCAGTATCCTGTCTGAGGAAGTGTGGACTGTTTCCTGCTTCCCTCCCTCCCTTGTCCCCGGTGTCCTCCTCTTTTTTACTGTGCCAAGAGCTGGACCCTCATTAGGCCCCCGAAAGATTCAGTCAAGCTGGTGCTCTATGGCAGAATACCATAAAATAAGATTTGTTTTTTAGAAGTATGTACAGGTTCACACAGTCTGAGGAAAAAGAATCCAAAATATTAATGATAATGATGGTTTGTATGTTGTAGGAGCCATTTATGTTTATTGTTGGCATGATATTTTATTTTGTTAGGATATGTTTATAGTAGTATTTTTGAAACCGTTTGGCAGTGATCAGATGCACATGGTTGTATAAGGTGGCATAGGTGACAGGAAGTGGTAGACACAGGTAGGGGGAGCACATACAGTTCTCACCAGACCACAGATCACAAACCACAATACACGCAACAACTGGAAACAAAAGAATAAGAAATCAACCGGTATGTTCATCTGTTTGTACTATTTACTACTGCAATAAACCACAAACCGCAACTGCAATAATGACTGCAAAATCTTGTGTGTCTGCGTAAAACTTTACTACCTACCTACCTGTGTATGATGGCAAAGATACGGATATTGGAAATCAAAGCTGAAGGTAAACCCAAGGAAAAATTGCCATTACACATGTAACACAAGTGAATGGTAACACTGGAGCGTGCAATATATCCAGAAACTTGTGCATAATCTGGTAAACCCTCAATGTTTTGGGGCTCAAAACCCAGAGATACTGCTTCAGAAAATGCGTTTAAAAAGTATGACATTGTGAGTTCAAATAGCCTGCTGCTTGTCTACAAAGCATTACACTGATTTGCATTACATGTTGCAACTTTTTCCCCTATACCACACAGTTAGAGACATGAGAAAAGCCTCCTGTTTATTTCTCCTCCTGCACATTAAACAAGCCAAATAAAAATATACTTTTAACGTTTGATGGGATGATCGGTATCACTCACATTTGCCCGTTAAATGTGAGGCACCAGCTTGTTAGCTTGGCTTGGCAGGGGAAAACATCTGGCATAGCTGTGTATACTTGTAACTCAAAAGCTCCCTCAGTAACACATTATATCTCATTTGTATAATCCATACAAAAAACAAAATTCTACTTTAACGGTGGTTATGTGTTTAGTGACTGTTTAGTGATTCTTTTTCTTAAACCACAACCTGTTGCTTTTAATTGTGCCAAACTAACCTTCTCCTGTATTTCCTCTGACTTCTTTGCGGATCTTCTGAAGGTATTTGGCCTCTGTGTGCATTAACATGTGATTTTCCTTTTTTCTTGTCCTCTCCTTTGGTCTCTGCTTTATTGTGTATATTGTGCTATATCTATTTGATATAAAGATAAGAATAAAAGCAACCCAATTGACACGATTGTGAAGTTGCACCAACTACAACAACCACCAACTGTTTGGTTATTTAATTAAACTTGATTATCAAAATCAAAACGATTTTCATTGAGTAATTGATAAATCAACTAGCTATATACTATTTCCTGATATACAGGTTGTGCTTTTGATATTTCAGATGCATTGTTCTTGCATTCAACAAGTTTGAATTCATATGTTAGTCCTGTTTTGACACACAGCTTTTTATGTACTAATGTGTTGTTGTTATTAGTCCCTGTGCCTTAGTGACCAGACCAGGTTCCTCTCTGGGTATTAATAAAGTTATCCAATCTAGTCCAATCTACCCCGGATGTCTCCTTCATATTATCTTCGATTTATACATAAGTTATGTAAATGCTGCATTCATTCCCTCTTGTTTCAGTTGAGCTGTGTGTACTTCCCATCCTCTCTCCAGATGCCGTCTGTCCCCCTTTTCTGCATTAATTACAACAATGTAGAGTGAACACACAAACACCCATGTCTCTCCCTCTCTCCATATCAATGCTTCATGCCCTTTCTTTCCCTGTTGAATTGCGGGACACTGCCTTTGAAATCCCTTTTGTGATCTCAGAGCATAAACACAAACAGAAAAAACTGAAGACTTTAGAGTAGGAGATGTTTTCAGATGTAATTTTAATGCAAATGTTGTTTTTGAATTTAGACAGCAACTTTCCTGGCTCAAATGAATATAAAGTATGATCTTTCACACAACTTCACATTTCCTTGCCCAGCCCGTGTTTCCACCTAAAGTCTTTAAAAATCATCTTTTATGTTTCTCTTTGTCTTTGAGTGGGCCAGAGTTCAAACGAATCACCTCCTGCCAAATGTGGAACACAAAAGCAGATGAAAAATGGAAAATGTTCTTTGCAATTCCAGTTTTCCAGAGTTGAATTTAGTGTGCAGTGCCCTGCAGGAAGTGTTGGTTAGGAGGAGGGTAGGCGGTTCAGTAGGCAGAGAGTCCCTGTAGAAGTGACCAGGCCAGGAAACATGTGCATGTGGTACATAGCAGCATCTCCTTTCACCCTCCTGAATCCATGCCTGCACGAAAACACGAACCTCCTCCTCCTCGTCAGGTGAAATGAAAAACATCATCATCATCATCAGACATAGTCTGATTTTTCCCAGGCATGACTTAAACACTATAATGTGGACTTCATCTGTGCCTGGCGTGCTGCAGGCTGCTCCCTGCTTTCCTGTCCTAAATAACAAAAACCTTAACATACATCTTTGGGCAGGCCAATAAACCTGATCCACTGCTATATTTGTCCCTGTAAGAGGAGTTCAACCTGCTAAACAATGAACCACTAACCTTGAGGTTCACTATGTTTATTTGTTCATATTCAGAACAACAAATACAATTCAAATGTTAAATGTTCTCATAACAAATGTTTTTGTTGGTGGTGGACATAGTAGAGCGTTTAGCTGTTAAAGAGCCACATATTTCCTTCAGGAGTCAGTGGATGATAATGCATATCTGCAGGAGGTGTGAATAAGCAACTGTTGGAGTAGGTTTCACCAAGTGGCCCAAATAAATTAAAGGTTTAAATGAAAATGGAATCAAAACAAACTAAATGAACCACCAACTTTCAGTTTTACTTGGCTTATTTAAATTTAATAAAGTGCTCAATTGTTTCTTTTTCTCAGAGAAAGAAAAGGACATCAGATGCATTTTAAACATTCAAGTCACGCAGCAATTGTTTTTTTTCTTCCAGGAAAAATGCCTAAAATAACATACCCAAAATTAATCAGTACATATCTCCTCAACCATAATTCTGGTCTCGTTTGATAGGTCAGAAGCTAAGGAATATGAATCAACTGTAAATGAACCTATTTATTTTTCTATTAAAGAGTAAATGGAGATGCAATAAAGCAAAATATGATATTTTCATCCTCGC